CCTGCCTCCACAGTCTATATTTGCAAAAACGAAGAGGCCTGTGGTAGCTTGAAAACAGATGTATTTGGGCATTTGTGGGGAAAGACGATGCATTTAAAGAGTTCTGTGCCCAGGAAAGCTTATGCCCAAATAAATTTGTTCATCTTTATGATGTCACAGGACTACTCACTGTGGTTTATAACCTATCTTTTAATTCAATTTCTCTACTAAATGACTGGAGGATAGCTAATGTGACACCATTTTTTTAAAAAGGGCCCCAGAAGTGATTTGATCAATTACAGGCTGAAAAACTTGACTTCAGTATCAGGCAAAGTGCTTAAAATTATGGTAAAGAACAATATTGCCAGACATGCAGATGAGCATACTTTGTTGAGGCTCAATCAACAAAGATTTTGTAAATGGAAATCATGACTCATCAATCTACTAGAATTCTTGCGGAGAAGGGGGATCCAGTGGACATAGTGCACTTAGAATCCCAGAAAGCTTTTGACAAGGTCCCTCACCAAAGGCTCTTATGCAAAGTAAGTGGTCATGGGATAAAAAGGAAAATCTTGTCATGGACTGGTAACTGATACAAAAATAGGAATTAAAGGGTAGGAGTAAGTGGTCACTTTTCAGAATAGAGAGAAGTAAATATTAGTGACCCCAGAAGACCAATCCTATTCAACACAGTCATAAATGATCTGGAAAATCATGGCAAACAGTGAGGTGGTAAACTTTGCAGATGATACAAAACTACTCAAGTTAGTTAAGGCAGATGGTGAAAGCTCCAAAAGGATCTCTCAAAACTGGTGACTGGGCAACAAAATAGCAGGTGAAATTCAAGGTCCACAAATGCAAAGTAATGCACCTTGCAAAATTTAATCCCAATTATACATATAAAATGATGGAGTCAAAAGTAGCAGTTACCACTCAAGACAGAAATCTTGGAGTTATTGTGGATAGTTCTCTGAAAACATCTGCTCAATGTGCAGTGGCAGTCAAAAAAAGCAAACAGAATGTTGGGAATCATTAGGAAAGTGATAGATAGTAACAGAGAAAATACATAAATCCAGGCTGAATATGGCATGCCAATGTGATTGCCTCATCTCACAAAAGATACACTGGAATTGGAAAAGGTTCAGAAAAGTGCAACAAAAATGTTAAGGGGTATATGCAACAGCTTCTGTATGAGGATTGATTAATAAGACAAGTACTTTTCAGCTAGGGAGATATGACTGAAGTCTAAAATGTTGTAACTGGTGTAGACAAAGAAGATAAGGAACTGATATTTACACCTTCTCATTACACAAGAACAGGGGGTCACCAAATGAAATGAATAGGTAGCAGGTTTAAAACAAAACAAAACAAAAGAAATATTTCTTCTCACAACTCACAGTCAACCTGTGAAACATCTTGCCAGAGAAAGTTACGATGGCCAAGACTGTAATAGGGTTCAAAAAAGAACTAGATAAATTCATGGAGGATAGGTCCATCAATGGCGATTAGCCAGGAAGGGTAGGAATGGTGTCCCTAGTCTCTGTCAGAAGTTGGGAATGGATGAATGGATGTAAAGTAATGCACATTGGAAAAAATAACCCCAACTATACATATAATATGATGGGGGATAATCTAGCTACAACTAATCAGGAAAGAGATCTTGGAGTCATCGTGGATAGTTCTCTGAAGACGTCCATACAGTGTGCAGTGGCAGTCAAAAAAGCAAACAGGATGTAAGGAATCATTAAAAAAGGGATAGAGAATAAGACGGAGAATATCTTCTTGCCCTTATATAAATCCATGGTACGCCCACATCTGGCATACTGCATACAGATGTGGTCTCCTCATGAGGAGTAACGGTAGTTCGAACTAGGAAGCCTAGTTCGAACTACCTAGTTCGTGCTGCGTGTAGCCGCGCGGCACAGGGTTCGAACGAGCGGGGATTTAAAAATGGCGGAGCCCCACTTATGCAAATGGAGCCCGGGAAATTCAAATCCCGGGCTTCATTTGCAAGTGCGGTATGCCTACATTACCCTCCTAGTTCGAACTAGGAGGGTAGTGTAGACATACCCGAGGAGACTAAGGGGGGATATGTTACAGGTCTATAAAATCATGAGTGGTGTGGAGAAAGTGAATAAGTAAAAGTTATTTATTTGTTCCTATAATATAAGAACTAAGGGCCACCAAATGAAACTCATGGGCAGCAGGTTTAAAACAAATAAAAGGAAGTTCTTCTTCACACAGCGCATAGTCAATCTATGGAACTCCTTGCCTGAGGAAGTTGTGAAGCCTAGGACTAGAACAGGGTTTAAAAGAGAACTAGATATATTCATGGAGGTTTAAGTCCATAAATGGCTATTAGCCAGTATGGGTAAGGAATGGTGTCCCTAGCCTCTGTTTGTCAGAGGGTGGAGATGGATGGCAGGAGAGAGATCGCTTGATCATTACTTGTTCGATTCACTCCCTCTGGGACACCTGGCATTGGCTACTGTCGGCAGACAGGATACGGGGCTGGATGGACCTTTGGTCTGACGCAGTATGGCCGTTCTTATGTTCTTATGACGGGAGGGATCACTTGATGATTCCCTGTTCTGTTCATTTCCTCTGGAGCACTTGGGGTCAGCAGACAAAATCCTGAGCTAGATGGATATTTAGTGTGACCTAGTATGGCTATTGTTGTGTTATTATGATTCAGATTCTCATTATTTCATAACTGTCGAATGTTTCCTTGGGGTTTCCTGTGCCTTGGACACACTTGTACTATGACAATGAACAAAAGCTACATCTGCTCTTGCCTTTTTCCAGCAACATTTCATACCTGAAAAAGAAAAATGGACATTAATTAGGGTAGACACGTCTGGGAGTTTTGTACAGTATATAGCTAACAGGAGCAGGTGTTGAGATGTTTCAAAGTGGTGTCAATTGCATCTTTGTGATCCCTTTCCAACTCTGCAGGTAAATCCAGCCCAGGAAAGGTACTGGCTGCATGTCAGCTCTGACGCTAGCAGATTTGCACTCATCTGGAAATACGGTGGGATCTACATGGACACCGATGTCATCTCCATCAGGCCTATTCAAGTGGAAAACTTCCTGACAGCCGAGGCATCCCAGGTCTCTGGCAGTGCGATTTTTGGCTTTTCTCGCCATCACGGGTTCCTCTGGGATTGCATGGAGGATTTTGTTCAAAACTACAAAGGACACATTTGGGGCTACCAAGGTCCTGGCTTACTGACAAGGAGGCTTAAAGCGTTGTGCAGCCTGACCAATTTCCAGAACATGGAGGATATAAACTGCCAGAACATTTCCTTCCTGCATCCTCAGCGTTTCTACCCCATCCCCTACTCGGCATGGAATCGGTACTTCGAGGTCTGGGAGAAGATGCCGAACTTCAACAACTCCTATTCTCTGCATCTGTGGAACTACATGAACCGGGAACACAAGCCTGTGGTTGCAGGAAGTAACACCTTAGTGGAAAACCTCTTCAAAACATACTGCCCCACCACGTACAAGGTCCTTATTCAAGGCCCAGAAGGCAGTGGTCCATATGGAACAAAACAAGACTGAATGATGGCATCTAGAATAATGAGGTAACCTTTCTAGCCCTGAGAGTCCGGTAATTAAAATAAATTGTGCGCAACACAGATCTCTTCTGCGTCAGTGACTCAGAATACAGCTCTTCTTCCAAGTTTCCCCAGGACCTAATGAATTGAGTAGGAAGATAGGGGTATAAATACAATTTTTGCCTCTCCTTTGCTTCAGCTCTGGACCCTGCCGTCTGCACAGCGACATTTTAAATGTCTCTATAAATAAAAGCTCCACCCCACCCAATGGCTCTGAATTTGTATTTCCTCACCTAAGCCTCCCTCCAGCATCTGGGATGGGTGAAAAGGAAAGTGAGTGTGTGTGTGGGGGGTGGGGGGGAGTGTCTGTGCTCAGTGATTGTTTCTGTGTGAGTTTCTCTGGCTGTGACTACACTGGCACGAATTTCCGGAACTGCTTAAAACGGAATACTATTCCGTTTTCAGTTTTTCCGGAAAAGGAGCGTCTACATTGGCAGGCTGCTTTTCCGGAAAAGCCCTTTTCCCGGAAAAGCGTCTGTGGCCAATGTAGACGCGCTTTTCCAGAAAAGAGCCCTGATCGCCATTTTTGTGATCGGGGCTTTGTTCCGGAAAAGACTACTGTGCTGTCTACACTGGCCCTTTTCCGGAACAGTGTTGTGGAATAAGGACTTATGCCCGAGCGGGAGCAGAATAGTTTTTCTGGAAAAGCGGCTGATTTTCCGGAATAAGTGGCCCAGTGTAGACACAGCCTCTCAGTCCTTATACGGCCCCGTTCTTGCAGCATGTGGGCGTCTCCCCGCAGCCCCGTGTGGCTGGGAAGCTCTGTTCTCCCGGCTGGAGACCCCGTCGTGGAACTGAGGCCTGGAGCCCCACGTGGGACCCAGGGACCCACCCCCAGTGCCAGGCGCTGCCGCCACCCACACAGCCCCAGTCAGCCACGGCCCG